GTTTGAGGAAGCATATAATCATTTTCCACAACTTTCCCCTAAGGCATTTAAAAAAGATGACAATTCTGCAACCTGGCGCGTTTATGCAACTGATGTCCGACTACGCCTTGGATGCATGCTAATATCGAAGTGTAGGACTTTTAAGCCAGTGGGGCTATAATTTCCTCTAACCTTTAACTTTTCTAAGTTTTAAGGTCATTCAGCTGCAATTGGGTGGTTGTGGTTGGTGCCTTTTGAAAAGCTTCTTTGTTTTTCACTTAAGGTGAGGAACGCCCCATTTTTCGTTAGGAATACCAAGATATGGAAAGGCTAAGGAAAGCCTTTTTGGGGACTAACAGGTGTGCGAATTTGTTGATTTGCTCCTGTGCTTCAAGTTCAATGCTTGGTTCATTTCTTGGTTGCTACTTTACTTCATGGAAATAAAATGCGTTTTGTTATGAATATTTTAGCTCTATTTAGTGTTTGAAGTTTTGTTTCCTTTGTATTACTTGCCCAATTTTGCGAAAATTTAGATGGCATTGATTAAAACACTGCACTGACTTTGCTTGCAATGATTCATGGTTTTTGTAAATCGAAGTAGTGGAGTACCAATGTTAAGGTTGAATTTTTCGATAGCATGACCTCCACTGGAATTTGCAAATAATCTTATACTAAGTGGAAATTTTGAAAGTTGGTATTTTTAGTGTGTTGTGATTGAATTTGCCTTGAATTTTTGTTGATTCTGCAGAACGTTGCATTGACTGCGAGTTTTGCTTGATTGGGCCAGTCATTAGAAGCTTTTTTCGTTATACAGTAATTGGATCTTTCCAAATTCTTCCTTAGATCATCTGAACTTGACTCTGCTCTACCGTTATATTGCACTACAATCCTTGCTAGTGTAGAGGAGGTTCGACCGCACATCCATGATTATCGGAAACAGCTGGAGAAAAACACCACAGTAAACCTTTTCAATCTACATTTGACACCGATTTTCTTTAAATTTATCTTTTTTTCTTCTTTTCAGCTATTTTCGACGTCCTGGGGGAAACTTGATTCACGGTGAGCTTGTCTATCCCTCACGATGCAACCTTGCCCTCCCTTTCTAGAAATATATGCAAGAGTTGTCCGTTTTGGATATTAATGAAGACGCAGGAGGAGTTGGTTGGTGCACAACACAAGTTCATGGATGGGAGCGTTAAGCAGCTCATTGCGAATCTCAGAAGTTGGGAGGAAGAGTGTTCTCAAGTGCTGAAAGTGAAGACGGATCTGCAGAAGGCTTTGATAGACCTGAATAGGGTGAAAGAGAAACAGCGTCCAGGAAGGGAAAACGAAAGTGCGCAAAGCCTCATTAGTTACGCCGAATCCATTTACACTAATCATAGGGTGCGTTAAAGTTTGCTGCTTTTTTTCTGCTACTGCTGCTTTACCGATTCTCTCATTTATGTCGCCTTTGTAGATGCCAGGATGAGAATTAGTTTTATATTGCTCTCAGTCTTGAGTACTTCATTCGCTGCTTGTACCTAAAAGCATTACTACATTGAGTTCATTCGTAAACTGACTTTTTTACAAAGTTCCTTTGACAACGCACTTAGATTTCGTTGAATTGGAGACTTTACATACATATTTGGGGTAAACTTACGCATTAAGCAAATCTTAGGGGTCATATTTTTGTAGATTGCAGCGTTATCTATCTCGTGCGTAATTAAAGCATTTAAACGGGAAGATTTTTACAAAATTTAATATGCAACCACACGTTTTTTACATTTTGAAATATTAATTGAAAATGGACGTAAATGGCTTGAAAGAATAGCGAACTCCTAAAAGACTTACTGGAGGACGTAGTTACGGCCATCGCTTATGGATGAACCTCCACATGATTGAATGGGATCTTGAAAGTTTCCCACTTTGTGCGAAACCATAAATAGTTTGATTTTTATTCATATCTTATCATTAAATCGGCATTCTGTTGTCACTAAAGAAAAGGTTACATTTCTGTTAACCTGGGACTACCGAGTAATAATTTGCTTTATTTTGCTTTAAAAAGTTGAAGCGCAGTGAAGGTTTTCTTAAAACAACTTATTAGTCACTAATTTTACAGCCGGTTTGTTAACCGACATAAATTTATCCAAGGGCAATTCATGGCACCGTTGGTTGAAATAGTTAGAAATTTGCTGTCTTCCACGGCAAAACTAAACACATATTTTCCAACGCGGGTTCCTTTTTTTGCCGAGCATTGACAGAAAAGTTTATTTGCACAGTCGAGGCGAAGTGGCAAGATCCGTGGAAGGATCCTTGTCATGCATCTCGAACGCACATTATTCTAGGTTACCAAAAAGCACTTTGAGTGGAATTTACCCCTTTTGCAGGTAACTCTACTTAACGAGCTCTCTCGCTATGTTCAATCGGAAGCGAACTACCAGGAGAAGGTTAAGAAGTTTCTAGGAGAACAAGTAAGCTTTCTGGACACTTGCAAGGAAAAAGTAGATAGGCTGTGGAAGAGCATCGGATCCACTTCAGGTGAGTGTACAGGTTTGGTGCATTTTGGACGTGGAATGCAAAAAAGATAAGGTGAGCTTTTAAGGAAACTATTTGCCTTAGCTTAATATAGAAAAGACTTTAGAGGTTTTGGGAAAGTATTTTGCTCTTTCTGTCTTTCACCTTCAATTCATGCTAATACCTCGCTCTCTTGAAGTTATTATGAAGGGCACTTACAAAATGAAATGCTAGATCTAGTAATTGAGGCAGTCAAGCGAGTTAAAGTTAATTGGCTTCTCCGCCCAAAGCGCAGCCTCCACTTGTCCACCCTTTAATAAGCCAGTGTAAATTGGCTACTCAGTGCTGATGTTCTGCATCCTTTCAACATTAGTGCATTGATCGCATTTTGAAGTCGTTTAACCATCCATCCGAATTTAAGTGCGTGACTGCATCATGTTAATGTGATTGTCTAATTTTGATGTCCATTCAAACTAACTTACACCTCCCAGCAGATTCAGCTGTCCACATCACATATCTTCTTTTGAACTGTCCGAGTTTGATGCCCGTACAACGGAGCGAAGACGTTTTGTTACTTGGATTTAGTCAGTCCGCCACTGTTATCGGGTTGGTAGCTAGTACTCACCCTTGAAGACCCAAGATTCCCTTTCGCAATGGAAGGCTAGTTATTATTACCGTGCAGAAAATATGGAGGGCTAAAATGCGTGGACTGACAACACCCTCGTATTGGTCAAAGTCGGTTCGCATTTGTTAACAATTATTAGCATAAAAGTAACAAATCCGTAGCAAAAATTATACCCTTCCTACTTTTCTATGTTTCCATATTTACCTAATTTGCTTGATTCTGGCAGAATTGAAGAATTGGTTTCTGCTATTCACTTATATGAGGTGGAAGTATCCTCTTCTCCCACAACCTTGTTCTGCGTTTATCTATGAATTTCAAATAGTGTCCATTGCTATTTATTCAAATGCAAATAATATGGCTGTGTTTGGGACGCACTCTCAGTTCATTTTCCTCCTAATTCACAAATGACATTATAGCGACATTCAATGTAAAGTCCACTAAGTTATGCCACAAATAAGATGACATTGTGAAGATTATATTATTATCCCTAAAGTTACCTGCATTAAGGTATTTGGGCGTAAACATTTGATACCCAACAAAAAGGCTTCTCCCAATTTCATTATTAAAGCAACAAGCGGAAGCGTTAATTATTGAAGCTATGTTTACACGACTATGCAGGATAGTGTCATGGCCTCAAGTGTAGGTGCTTATGATAAGTCAGAACGTTAGGGAAAAGTCATATATTTCCTCTTCTTTTTTGCGACCAATAGCTACACTCATTAGAGCTCACATTCATTCATGTTGATTCATTGGTGTAATACTTTTACTCAGCTTTTGCGGGAGAGGCTCCATCAAGAAGCTACTTCGGCTCACGTCTGCAGGAACATCTGGACGAAGAAGGCTTCTCAGTGGTGTTGAAAAAGTGTCTTTCCTACCTAATGAAGAGCGAGGCGTACACGAGGGAGGTGAGTAATTTCTCATTCAATTAAGTGTCTTCGAAGAGCTTGGACCAGCAAGCTTGGTGTGCATTTTGACTTTGAAGTCGTCTTCTTTTCTTCGTATTTGCACATACTTCTATCCATCAATTAAATGATGGGCTCAATTTTATCTAAAATTCTCATCATTTATTACAAATCTACCTATTATCCGCATGCCTGTTCAATAATCCATCCACAGATCCATTCATCGATGTATGTATCAATACGGAGGGCCAGCAGAAACCTTTCCACTTGCCCTTCTATCTCACAAAAGTGCACCGATTCAGGCATGCACACATTTCAGACCCTTCCAAACATTTAAAAACTCGAATTTATCCATCCACGCGTCTATCCATCAATCCAGCTGCCTATTTGTGTAGCCATTAATGTATTCCCGACTTGTCTTAGGACAAGAATAGTCTGTTTTTCACCACACGAGATTTCATTGCAAAATGCTCCAGCGAACTTCATCAACACACAGATAGATGTTCTATCGGTGTGTTTGGGGTGCAGGGTTTCCTTCCCACTGCAAGCATCACAGACTCATGGAAAACCTGCTGACTTGACAATTATGCCGAGCTCGAGGCATAACACTTGCTTAGAAGCGCATCTGAGGCTATACAAGGAGATTTCTACCCACACCCCTACCAATCCATTAAGATATCGCCCAGTTCTAAACATTGGTGGTGAGGGGACAGTCGCGGTGACTCACAAATAAGGGAAGGAAAGGGGAATAACGCTGCTTCTAGTCGCCAAATTTCCACATCAGCACGTGTGCAAGCTACAGGTTGTGCGATTTCTCTTTGTGTTTTCC